AGATACCATCTCACTCCTGTCAGAATGGCTAAAATCAAAAACACCAATGACAATTTATGCTGGAGAGGATGTGGTGAAAGGGGGACACTCCTCCATTGCTGGTGGGAGTGCCAGCTGGTTCAGCCACTTTGGAAAGCAGTATGGAGATTCCTCAGAAAAATGGGAATAAACCTACCACAAGACCCAGCAACTGCACTCTTAGGCATATATCCAACAGATGCCCATTCATATAACAAAGATGTCTGTTCCACTATGTTCATAGCAGCTTTATTTGTAATAGCCAGAACTTGGAAGCAACCTAGATGTCCCTCACCCGAAGAATGGATAGAGAAAATGTGGTACATCTACACAATGGAGTACTATTCAGCAGAAAAAAATAATGGAATCATGAGATTCGCAGGCAAATGGATGACACTAGAAGAAACCATCCTGAGTGAGGTAACCCAGTCACAAAAAGAGAAACATGGCATGTACTCTCTCATATATGGATTTTAGACATAGATCTGGGGAGTGCCAGACTACAATCCTATTGCCAGAGAGTCTGGGAAACAGAAACTTCATTTACTGGCTGGTTAAGTACTGAGCTGAACTCAAGAAAGCCAGTATCAGAGAGGGAGGACTGATGATCAAAGGGATTAAGACTGGGCTGGTTGAACCCCCAGAAACAGCTGACCAGACAAAGGTTAACTCTTGATTCCCAGGCATCAGCCTGGGAATCCAGCATGGGACTGATCAAGACGCCCTGAATCTGGGTGTCAGTGAGGAGGCCTAGGTAATCTATTGAGCCTTGGACAGCAGATCAGTACCCATCCCAAGTATACACACGGTCTCTGGACTCCCATAGAACAATGTGAGGTGCACTCTCACCCTGAACTCTTGGGGAAGGGTCTAGGCCCTGCCCTATATGAAATGACAGACTATGGACACCCCCATGGAGGGCCTCACCCTCCCTGTGGGAATGAGGGGATAACGGGGGGGATGGGGGGAGGGCACGGGAGGAGGGGAGGGAAAGGGAGAGGGACCTCGTACTGACTTGTGAAGCAACCTTGTTTCTTATCTAAATTTAAAATGGAAAATAAAAAAATATTAATAAAAAATAAAATAAAATAAAATAGCCACAAACAACATAAAATATCTTAGGATAAGGCTAACTGGATAAGTGAATGTCCTGTATGACAAGAACATTGAATCCTTAAAAAAAGAAATTAAAAAAGAAAAGCAAGAAAATGAAAAATCTTTAAGCTCTTTGATTTGTAGGATCAATACAGGAAAATGTCAATCATAATAAAGTAATCTACAGATACAATGCAATCCCCCATCAAATTAACGAACCTTAAAAGAAAAGATACTCAATTTTATATGAAAAAAAAAACAGGATGCAAAATACAATCCTATACAATAAAGCAACTTCTGGAGGCATACCCATTCTTAATTTCAAGCTCGATTATAGAGCTATATTAATTCACCCAGAGTGGTATTGGCATAAACAGCAGGCAATAGACAAAAGGAAACTAATAAAAACCCTGATATTAATCAATATACATACAGACATCTAATATTTGACAATGAAGCTAAAAGTATGAAATGGAAAAATATTTTAATAAATGGTGCTAGCATAACTGGATCCTGACATGTAGAATATTGCAGATAGATCTCTATATATCACCATGAACAAAACTTAACTACAAATTGATCAAAGACCTCAATATAAATCTAGCAATAATGAACCTCTTATAAGAGAGTGTAAGTACCCTTGAATTAATTGGCATAGGAAACCACTTCTTGAACATAATGCCTATAGCACACACAATGACACTGACAATTAATACATGGGCTCTCTTGAAACTGAGAGGGTTCTCTAAGGAAAAGGACATGGTCAATCAAAAAGACAAATCAGCAGCATACAGAATTCGAAAAGCCCTTCAGCAAAATCACATCTGACAGGGGACTGATTTCCAAATGTACAAAAAACTCACCAAAACACCAAATAATACAATTAAAAGTGGGGAAAAGAACTAGGGATATAATTCTCAATAAAGTAATCTAAAGTGTCCTAAAGGCAATTAAGAAATTCCTCAGCATCCTTAGCTGGAAAGGAAAAGCAAAACAACTCTGAGATACTATCTTTCAACTGTTCCAATGGCTAAAAAATACTAATGAACAATTATGCTGGAGAGAAAATGGAGTAAGGGGAACAATGCTGCATAACCGGTTGGAGTGCAATCTTGTGCAGATATATTGGAATCAGTATTGGTAATTGATGTAACTCAAGACCCAGAAATACTATTGGTGGCATATACCCAAGACACACACACACACACACACACACACTTACCACCATGACATCTGGTTTAAATGTGTTCATTCCAGCATTATCTGTACTAGCCAGAACCTGGAATCAATATAGATGCTCTCCAATTGAAAAATAAATACAGAAAATACGATACATATACACAATGGAGTACTACTCAGTGATTAAAAGGAAAACATGGCATCTTGGACTTCCAAGGCAAATAGAGAAAAATAGAAAAAATTCCTCTCTCTGGTAACTTAGGCACAGAAATACAACCATTGTATGCCCTCTTCCATATTTGGTTATTAGACTTAAAGTTAAGGATAACCAGGCTATAATCCATAATTCCAATAAACTAGGAAACAAGTAGTATCCCCGTGGAAGTAGAAAATATCTGAGTTAATTGGGAGCATGGGAGGATGAGGTAGGGAGATAGGATAGATAAGTGGTGAGGGGCAGGAAGGAAGAGGATCTGAAGAATCTGGAAGGTCAAGTTTGGAGGAGGATAGAGATACTCCAGAGTCTGTCATTTCATTCAGGGCAGGTCTTAGGCTCTCCTCCAAGCATTGAAACTAAGAGAACATCCCTCATTGTGGTACCTTGACTTTATAACTTGAAGTCAAGGATATGTAACTTTGAAAAAGAGATTCTGATTTTGTTCTCACTGAAGATTGGAGCCTATGGATTTCTTCGAGGCTATGGTTTGGACAATTAAGTTTCCCTTAAACAATGGCCCAGATGATCCAAAATCCAAACCTGCTGAGGTGATGCCATCTCTTCAATCGTCACAGCAAAGATTTGGTCATGGTTCCATATTTTCTCAGAATCTCCATGAGATTGGGAGTGCCTTCAAACATCAGGTAGCAATTTGTAGAGAACTATGGCCAAATTCCCATTTGTATGCATATAAAGGGTAGTTTACCTTTAAACAGTATTCATTGTAAATGTCTGATGAACACAGTCAATCTCATTATAAAGAAAAAGAGGGATAAATGTTATATAGAAATGAGTATTTTTAGCCGGGAGGTGGTGGCACACGCCTTTAATCCCAGCACTCGGGAGGCAGAGGAAGGGGGATCTCTGTGAGTTCGAGGCCAGGCTGGACCAACAGCCTCTAAAACAATACAGAGAAACCCTGTCTCATAAAAACCAAAAACGAAAAAGAAATGAGTATTTTGCACTGATGTTGATTTCGGTTTATTTACAAAAATTTAAGATTAATTTTGTTCTATGTATATTTATACTCTTGATTACACATTGCTATTTTTATAAAATTCATTTAAAATAGTATGTTATTAAGAAATGCAGAATATAAGTAGTTATCCATAATAGTCAAAATCATAGTTACGTTAGTTTTCTAGATTGCAGATATATTTTTCAGATAGATATGCATTTTTCAAAACCTTTCAAAGCCCATTTGAATATGCCATGTAAAATGGTTTATTGACATTGGACTTTCCATGACAATGAGACACATATGCTTTTGGCAGCATCGTCTATGTCAGAGAGAATGATGGGCAACACCGAACTTTGCTGTGGTGTTTATTTCAATATGGCATAGGTAGATTTTTAGAATAGACACTGCTAATATAAGATGAAAATGATATTCAATTTTCCTGCTTCAAAGAAAAATTGCCAAATATCTATGCCTATAGGCTTAAGATAGATGCCCAACAATACAAATGAAATTTGGGTAACTGTTCAATTACCAAGATGTCTCTGTCAATATTAGTGTTTTAAAAGTTATTTGAAACAGACTATTTGTTTACTTATGAAACATTATATCATTCTGGAGAATTTGATGAAGTTGAGTTGAAGAGTGATAGTTATGTATGGAGTCTCCTTTATATGTAATAAAAGATAATATATATATGTAAAATTTTAGACTCACAACTATAGGATAGATGATAAACTATTTCCTTTAGATTTTGTCAAGTGTAAATGCAGTAAATATTATAGCTATAACTCTTATTTGAAAAAATAACTTTACTATATTAAAATTAAAATCTTCCTTTTTATTAGACAGAAAATATTAGGTGACCAGGGATGACATTCTTCATGCCACATTTTTGTCTACATATCTATAACTACATATGTATACATTCCTAATTATTGATTAATTAATATTTTTTTAGACAATCAATAGTCAGAATTTAGCTAGGCAGGAATTCCAAAATAAGAGGTAGGGAGAAGAAGACAGAATCAAGAGAAGCCATGTAGCTGCCTGGGAGATAAGAACCCAGAGAATTACATGTGCAAGCCACAAACTCATGTTAATATGAATGGGTTAATTCATAAGAAGCCTAGCAAATAGGAAGTCTAAGCCCTTGGCTAGAAAATTATAAACAGTCTAGAAGGAAGAAGAGCTGATAGTGTAATATCTGCCTCTACAGTTTACACAATACCGTACTTAAAATCATGTGCCAACAAATAATGTAATGTAATGGGTTACATTATTTTCTGATGTTACACCCTAAATATATTGGTTATTCACCTTGTAATCATTTTCAAACAAGAAATCAATGAATATGCCAGAACACTGAACATATTGAATTAGGAGTTATCAAATTTGTATGCAACTGGATACTTCAACACAATAGAAATATTTTGACAGTGCTTAAAATTATTATACAAGGAGACCATATTCATCAATTATCCAAGTGATGAACCATGTGAACACATATTTGACTAGCATAGAAAACATATGGTGTTTGTCTCAGCAGCACATATACTAAACTTGGAACAAAACAGAGAAGATTAGCATGGCCCATCTGCATGGATGACATGCAAATTCATGAAGAATATCATATTCTTATACCAGAAAGACTGGAACACAGAAATAAAAATGAACCTGAAGGGAATGACATTTTTAAAAACTTCATGAAAATGATAGAGCCCCTCAAAGAGGATATGAGAATATTTCATAAACAGATGGAAGAAAAAGCAATCAAAATAATGCAAGAAATGGAAGAAAAGACATAGACAAACTTGCAAGAAACACTTCAAACAATACAAGGGATGAAATCTGAAATAGAAACTATAAAAAATTCTAGTCTGAAAGAATGCTGGAAATAGAAAAGCTGGAAAACTGGTTAAGAGTTGGAAGAGATAATCTCATGTGTTGAAGATACTCCAGGAGAATTAGATTCATCAAAGAAAATTTTAAGTCCAACAAATGGAGTCGACCAAAAAAATCCACTTGGTATATAATAATCAAGACTCCAAATATACAGAATATAGAAAGAATATTAAGATCAGCTAAGTAAAAATGCAAAATAGCATATAAAGACAAATGTATCAGGATTTTACCTGACTTATCCATGGAAAGTATGAAAACCAGAAGGTCCTGAATAGATATTCTGCCAATGATAAGAGACGTTGGATGCTAGCCCAGACTACCATATCCAGCAAAGATTTCAATTAAAATAGATGGAGAAAACAAGATAGACAAACCATTATCCAAACTTACCAAACTGCAGAGTATGAACATACAAATTAACAAAATCAGAAATAAAAAGGGAGACATAACAACATTCAGTGAGAAACATCAGGTCATATTTTGAAAAGCAATACTCCACAAAATTAGAAAATTTAATGGTAATGGACAATTTTCTGGATAGACATCACCTGCCAAAATTAAATCAAGAATTGATAAGAAATTTAATTGACCTATAACAACTAATAAAATATAAGCAGTACTCAAAAGTCTCCTGACCAAGAAAAGATCAGGGCCAGATGACTTCATTGAAGTATTTTGCCAGAAATTCAAAGAAGAGCTTATACCAATTCTCACAAATTATTCCATGGAATACAAGGAGAAGGGTCTTTGACAAATTCTTTTTATGAGATTTCAAGCCACACAAAGACATAAGAAAGAGAACTTCAGACCAATATGCCTCATGAACTTTGACAGAAAAATACTCAAGAAAATACTAACAAATCAGATCCAAGAACATATCAGAAAACTCATCCACTATGTTCAAGTAGGCTTCATTCCAGGGATGCAGGGATGGTTCAGCATACGAAAATGAATCAACATAATCCACCATATAAACAAGCTGAGAAACAAAAATTACATGATCATCTTATTAGATAATGGAAAACCATTTCACAAAATCCAACACCACTGTAGGATAAATGTCTTGGAGAGATCTGGGATAATAGGAACTTACCTCAACATAATAAAAGCTATATACAGCAAATCAACAGCCAACATCAAAATGAATGGAGAGAAACTCAAAGCAATTCCTATAAAATCAGGAAGAAAATAAGCTGTCCTCTCTCCCCATAGCTCTGTAATACTGTACTGAACTAGCTAGAGCAATAAGGCAACAAGATCAAAGAGATACAAATTGGAAAGGAAGAGGTCAAATATTCACTATTTGCAGATGATATGGTACTTTACATAAGTGACACAAAGTCTCTACCAGTGAACACTTACAGCTGACAGACACCTTCAGCAATGTGGCTGGATACAAGATCTACTCCAGTAAATCAGTAGCTCTACAACAGACAGAGGATAAAAAGGGAGAGAAACATCACCCTTTACAATTTCCACAAACAACATAAAATCCCTGGGGAGTACTCTAACCAAACAAGTAAAAGACCTATGTCGCAAGAGCATTTAGTCTTGCAAATGATATGATATTTTACATAAGTGACCTGAAAATCTCTGCAATGGAACTCCTAGAGCTGATAAACACCTTCAGCAAAGTGGCTGGATACAAGGTAAACTCATAAAAATCAATGGCTATATTATACACAGATGATGAAGTTACTGAGAAAGAAATCAGAGAAACCTCACTGTTTACAATAGCCATAAACAGCATCAAATATCTGGGGATAATGTTAACCAACGAAGTGAAAGACCTGTACATCAAGAACTTTGAGTCTTTAAAGAAAGAAATCAAAGAGGATACAAGAAAATGGAAAGATCTCCCATGCTCTTGGAATGGTAGGATCAATAAAATAAAAATGGCAATCTTGCCAAAAGCAGTCTACAGATTCAATGCAATCCCTGTCAAAATTCTGGCACAATTCTTCACAGACATGGAAAGAACATTAATCAACTTTATATGGAAAAACAAAAGGCCCAGGATAGTCAAAACAACCCTATACAATAAAGGAAATTCAGGAGGCATCACCATACAAGACTTCAAGCTCTATTATAGAGCTATAGTCGTGAAAACAGCTTGTTATTGGTACAAAAATAGGCAGGTAGACCAATGGAACTAAATTGAAAACCCTGATTTTAACCCACACACCTATGAACACTTGATTTTTGACAAGGAAGCTAAAACTATACAATGGAAAAAAGGAAGCATTTTCAACAAATGGTGCTGGCATAAGTGGGTACTGGTATGCAGAAGACTGCAGATACATCCATGTTTATCACCTCCTACAAAACTTAAGTCCAAATGGATCAAAGATCTCAACATAAATCCAGGCACACTAAAACTTTTAGAAGAGAAAGTGGGAGATACTCTTCAACGAATTGGTACAGGAGACCACTTCCTGAACATAACACCAGTGGCACAGACACTGATTTCGACAATTAACAAATGGGACCTCATGAAACTAAAAAGCTTCTGTAAGGCAAAGGGCACAGTCAACAAGACAGAAAGGCAGTCCACAGAATGGGAAAAGATATTCACTGACCCCACATCTGACAGAGGGCTAATCTCCAAAGTTTACAAGAACTCAAGAAGCAAGTCTCCAAAACACCAAAGGATCCAATTAAAAGGTAGGGTAAAGAACTAAACAGAGAATACTCAATTGGGGAGGCTAAAATGTCCAAGAGACACTTAATAAACTGCTCAGCATCCTTAGCAATCAGGGAAATGCAAATCAAAACAACTCTGAGATACTATCTTACACCTGTCAGAATGGCTAAAATCAAAAACACCGAAGACAATTTATGCTGCAGAGGATGTGGAGAGAGGGGAACCCTCCTCCACTTTGGAAGGCAGTACGGAGATCCCTCAGGAAAATGGGAATCAATTTACCACAAGACACAGCAATGCGACTCTTAGGCAAATATCCAAAGGATGCAAAATCATACATCAAGGGCGTCTGCTCCACTATGTTCATAGCAGCATTATTTGTAATAGCCAGAACCTGGAAGCAACCTAGATGCCCCTCAATTGAACAGTGTATAGAGAAAATGTGGTACATTTACACAATGGAATATTACTCAGCAGAAAAAATGGAATCTTGAAATTCACAGGTAAATGGATGGCACTAGAAGAAACCATCCTGAGTGAGGTAACGCAGTCATAAAAAGACAAACATGGTATGTACTCACTCATATATGGATTTCAGACATGGATCAGGAGAACACCAGTCTGCATTTCCACTGGCAGAGAGTCTGGGAAACAGGAAAGAACCTAAAAGATATGCATGGTATCCAAGAGAAGAGAAATGAGGCAAGATCCTCTGATAGGATGGGAAATACGGCAAGGCGTGGGGGACAGGGGGATCTGGGAAATAAAGACGGGGAGAAGAGGAAGAGAGAGTAGGTCTTGGATGAACAGGAAGGTTGACTGTAGGGATAGGTTAGGGGGAAGTGGGAATCATAGGTTAGAAGACAGATCAGGCATCATTGTGACCTCTGGTGATGTAAAGGGGTTACACCAATTGGCAAGCAAAGCAATAGTGTAGAGACCACCTCGAATGACCATTCCTGATAGTGAACTTGATGTCTGTAACCATCCTGGAGCCTTCATCCAGTGATTGATGGAAGCAGAGGCAAACACCCACAGTTAAATACTGAATTGAACCCAAGGAACCAAGCGACAGAGAGAGAGGAACGGTGAGCAAATTGGCAAATAACAGGCTGGCAAAACCAGCAGAGACACCTGATCCGAACAGGGGAGAGCTCTTGAATCCCAGACCGACAGTTGGGAGGCCAGCATGGGACTGATCTAGACCCCCTATATGTGTGTACATAACGCAAAGAGGGTTGCTCTCTCTGCCTGGACTCTTAGGGAAGTGCCTGGACCCTACACTGAGTGAAATGATAGACTCTAGATATCCCCTATTTGGAAGGAATTGGCAATATGGTGTGAGGATGGGTGGGATGGGGGTTACAGGAGGAGGGGAGGGAGAAAGAACTGGGATTGACATGTAAAACAAGCTATTTAAAATTAAAATAATAATGTGTAAATATATATGTAAAAAAGAACATTTCGTCTTTAAAGAAAGAATTTAAAGAAGACATCAGAAAATGAAAAAGATCTCCTATGCTCTTTGATAAGTAGGATCAATGTAGTAAAAATTGCAATCCTGCCAAAAGCAATTTGCCAACTCAATGCAATCCCCATCAAACTCACAGCACAATTCTTTACAGAACTTGAAAGAAAAATTCTCAACTTTATACTGAAAAAAAAAACAGGATAGCCAAGACAACCCCGATCAACAAAGGAATATCTTTAGGCATCACCATCCAGTACTTCAAGGTCTATTATAGAGCTATATTCCTGAAAACAACATGATACTGGCACAGAAATAGACAGGTAGACCAATGGAAACCCATTGATAATCCTGAGATTAATCCTCAAATCTATGAAAACCTGATTTTCGACAAAGAAACCAAAATTATACAATGGAATATAGATAGCGTCTGTTGGCGCCTAGCGCCCACAGGGTCTCTGAATTGTGTGTCAGCTTATATCCACAGGGGCATCCTCTTTTCTAGTCCAGGCTTACTGCCCTGACTTGACCTACTGACATCAGCATCTAGCAGGAGGAAAACATGCTCTTTTCCACCTGGGGTTTTTCTACTGTGTTGTAAATCTATATATAAGACTGATCCCTTCTACAAGAGAGAGACCTCTTATCACTTGCAAAAAAAGACACTTTTTAGTAGAAACACCTGGACACCTATCTGGTCTTTCTTTTCCTGATATTCTGGGGTTGATTGTGGCATCAGCGCCACAATTGGAGGTCCCACTGATATCCAGAGAGACTTGTAAAGACTGGGAAATATTGGCCGGAAAGAAGACTCAGGAGAGGAAAGCCTCGAGAAAAAATTAATTTAAAAACATGTACCTCAACTTCTAACAGTAAAATGGAATGGTCAAACTCCCAGGCTTTTACTTGAGAGATTACCTTTTAAAGAGAAGGTATATTAAATAAATCTCCTTTCCCCTGGTCTATTGAGGTCAGGAAAGTAAAGGGGAACTGATTGATTGTCCTCAAAGGCTGGCTAACAAGTAAGGCTAAGAGGGTGTATTGGAAATTTTAAGTACTAACCAGAGGAAAACAACAATGGAATCTTGAAATTTTTCAGGGAAATGAATGGCACTAGAAGAAACCATCCTGAGTCAGGTAACCCAGTCACAAAAAGACAAACATCATATGTACTGACTCATATGGATTGTAGATATGAATCAGGGGAATAACTGCCTACAGTGTCAATGCCAGTGAGTCTGGGAAACACGGAGATTCCCAATAGAGATGCATTATACCCCAGAGAAGTGGAATGATCTAAGATCTCCTGAGCAGATTGGGAACATTTGCAGAGATGGGAGGTAACCATGAAAAAGAGAGGAGAATTATAGGAGGGTTGAAGAAGGCATTGGAGAGCAGGAAGTTTGAGTAAAAAAGAGGAGAACAGCATGATAGATGCCGTCATTGTAAGTTTGAGGAGAGAGCTGACACTCGTGAGATTTCTGAGATCTACAAGCAAAACACAAACTGGCAAACTAAGTAATAGAAGAGAGACTATATATATAGCCACTCCCTGATTTTAAGTTTGATGACTACCTTATATGCCATCTTAGAACCTTCATCCAGTGACTGATGGAAGCAAAGACAGATACCCACAGCTAAACACTAAACTGAATTCCTGGAACCCAGTGACAAAAATGGAGGAGTGATGAGGAAAGGGATCAAGATCGTGTTGGTGAAACCCACAAAGACAGCTGACTGGACAAAGTGGAGTTCTTGAACCCCCTTCTGATGGCTGAGAGGCCAACAATTACTGATCCAGACTCCATAAATACAGTGTCAGTGAGGAGGCCTCAGAAATCTCTGTAGCGTTGGTTAGTAGATCAGTGTTTAGCATGGCACACAAATGAACTTTGGGATCCCATTCCACAAAAGAGGCATATTTTCTCAGCATGGGCACATGCGGAAGGGCCTAGGTCCTGCCCTGGATGACATGACAGACTCTGGCAAATCTCACAAGGAGGACCTCACCCTCCCTGGGTAATCAAGTGGGGATTGGTTGGTGTGATGGTGGAAGGACAAGGGAGGAGGAAAGCGAGAGGTAGCTGGGATTGACATGTGAAGCATGCATGCTTCTAATTTAAATAAAAACCTATATTGAGGGAAAATTACTATATATGCTATACAATGAGAGCAGTGTCATCAATTTTCCATGATATTGATCATTGGACCACATATTTGTCAGACCTATAAAATATGTTCAAAATTGGCTCTGTTGTTTTGACAATAACTAATAAGTATTTGCCTGTCTTATTGACAACTGCATTGTTGAAATACATATCTGACACTGCTTTAGAGCCGAGAAACTGAGACCAAACTGGCATGGGCTCTAGATAAAAAATCATTATTATTTCACTTAAGGAACATTGGCATGAAGGTAATAGTATATTGGTGAATACATAGATTAGTGCCTCACTCATCCTTCACTACAGAAGGATAATATTGAGAGTTTGGAGAACTAAGACCTGTCTGGGATTCTTTGTTCATAACGCTCCAATTAGGGTGAAGGAAAGAAACAGCAAATGTCTCTAGTGAAAGAGGAGTTTAAAAACAGCATAGGAACAATCAACATATAATTGCTAAGTCTGCAACGGCAATGACAAAACCCACAAAAGCTCCATTTAGCCAAAACTTTGTATTTTTCATTGAAAATAGATCCAATGTAATAAATCTTTGACAAGAATATATTAGGGGTCCATAACTCCAAGGAGGAGGAAAAACTTTTTCCCTTTACTTAATCCCAGGATATAGCAATAATATTCAAAATATTGTATTCCAAAGTAGTTGGCCTCCAAAAATTTTCCTCTATTTTTTTATAAATTTTCTGATCATGTTTTGATAGAATAAAATATTGTGTGGGAATCATGATGTTGGGTAACACAATAAATCTATTATATGCAAGTAGGAAAAAGAAAGAAAAATAACTTGATGCATGTACTATAAAATATTCAAAAATATAGAAAAATACTAGAAATTGTATTCAATCTATCAATGACATATAGAAGAACAATTCTGATATATGTTGGAACACACACACACAAAACCATGTATACATTGACAAATTGCTATTAGCATGCTAATTTTTTCTAATAACTATTCTGATGAAACAAAGGAAAACATGTAACATCCTCTGTATGCTATATCCAGTATAAAATACTGAAAGAAATACTTTTTCTACACATCTAGTAGGGATCAAAGCTATTGCCACTTTAATTGTTCATTACGTTTTTGGATTCCACACATGAACCATTGGTTCCTTTCAGCTTACCTGGTTCCAGAACTTTTACTTCCACTGTATTCTCCATCCAGGGTTCTTTGTTTTGTTCAAGACACGTGATTAGTTCTGGTTTTGTATCAGAAAGACCTAAGCATTAGAAAAGATATAACATAATTTCTAAACATAACATGGAATTTGGGATATACTTTTTCAGCCCAAGATTAACACCATGAGTTTACTGGCAGGGTTTTCCACTTTCTGGATCCTATTTGCAAGTTTGGTGTCTCATTTAACGAGTTATCAAAAGGAAAAAGGACAATTTAAAAAAAAAGAAATTATTTTTTTATTTTTTTACAACTTCAACTTCACATACATTTCACAGTTACAAATATAAATCTATTGGATTCAAAATTTATTCACACATTGTTGCTACTGAAGACTGCATAAATATCCTTATGGGAGAGAATTAATTGTTAGGCTAAATTAAATGACAATTTTAAATGATATATTAAAAGTGAAGCAAATATTACCAAAAACTAGGAAAATTGGGAGGTAGCATTCATTCATAAAAGACATTTTAAAATTATAATATATGTTTTCTCACATTCCTGGGTTTAAGCAGCATTCAGAAAATAATTTATTCTCACCTACAGAAACCAGGTGGCTATAATTCTCCAACATGACATCTCTGTACATCTCCCTCTGAGAAGTATGCATGCTTTTCCATTCTTCCTTGGAGAAATTGATAGCCACATCCTCAAAAGTCAACAGACTCTGAAATGAAAAATTTTCCCCTTGTGATAATGGGTAGAGTCCTTATTTACCCCAAAGGAAGGATAATTTAAGTAAATAACTTGCTGTTTTATCAGTAATTGATATGCGATTTGCAAGTGTTATGTGTTAGGAGTGAGGTTTTTGTGACTTTTTAACAGAAAACAAAGTACCCAACATCTAAAATTCTCATGAAATGAGTGCATTTTCTCATCTGAAGTTGTAGTCGGTATGAATTCAGAATGAATATTCATCTCTAATATCAGAAATTTTGTAAATATTTCATGACATGCATATATATATATATAGATATGAATCCTGTTTGAAAATAGACATTGAAAAGGGGAAAGCAAGATATAGCTTACAAATGAGATTGATAATAAAGAGTTTCTATTGAAAATAAGATATAACATGAAGACAGATTTTAAACAATGTATGTATGTCGAGCTCTGAAAATTAAACATTTCTCTGTGGACTGTCAAATTTTCACATCCTTGTGAATATATTTACCTGAGCACAAGCCATCTGTCAATCCCCTTCCTTGTGGATCCTTTCAGTAAGGTTATCTTAAAGGTTTACCTTCCTGATATTATCCTGTGTATAAGTCAAAAGCTCCTTTATTCCAAGCTATGACACTCAGAGTTTGGAAAGTAGCTTCAAAATATCCTCAGTTTCTAAATTGTTCTACAACAGAATAAAAAACCATGACCTTTCAGAAAGTGATCAACGCTTAGTTTTTCCTTTCCTGCATTCAGAGAATCTGTTATTCCAGAAGATGTTGGTTATCTCTACAACCTGGGTTTATGACGTCAGCACCCTGCTTTATACTATGCACAAGGATTTTCAATCCGCCCTGATCATTAACTAAAACAAAACTGACACCTGTATTTGAAAGACTGAATGGAATCTGAGGGGTAGCCACAGGTGAAAATATTTCTCACACTGGTAATTAATACACTTTTTAAAGACAGGACACAATGTGAAACTGAGGCCTCCCCATGTCTCCAAAAAGCATTCCCTTTGGTTTCCATATTCAAATATTAAATTACAATATTTCATTTTACAAATGATGACATTGTCTCTCCAGTTCATTTTGAACAGTGAAAATTCCTTTTTAAATTTATTAAATGGTATATCTACTCAAAACTAACCATGATATTCATGCATTCTTAAGACTTTTGATTGTTAATGAAGGCAGTTCAATTCACACCACATAATGTATTCTTTTTTATTTAAATTTCATTTTGTTTTATTTAAATTAGAAACCAGCTTGTTTGACATGTCAATCCCAATCTCTCATCCTCCCCTCATCTCTTGAGGCCTGAACACATTCCACCTCGATGTCCCCAGGGTGGGTGAGGCCCTACATCAGGAATCTTCAAAGCCTGTCATATTACTCCTGGCAGGACCTAGGATTTCCTCCATGTGGCCAGCCTGAGACAACATCCTTCCTTGTGGAATGAGCTACCAAAATCCATTTGTATGCCATGGATAAATACTGCTCAACTATCCAAGTTCCCATAGATTGCTGAGGCCTCCTCACTGACACCCATGTTCAAGCATTATGGATCAGTCCAATGCTGCCCTCTCAATCACCAGTCTGGAGTCCAGGAGCTCCCCCTTGTTCATGTCATCTACCTCTGTGGCTTTCACTAGCCAGGTCTTGGCTACTTTGGTCATCATTTCTCCATTTCTTCAACTGGATTCCATAAGTTCAATTCAGTGTTTAGCTGTGGGTGTCTGCCTTTGCTTCCACCAGGCACTAGATGAAGGCTCTATGTTGGCATACAAGGTAATCATCAATCTCATTATGGGGAAAGGCATTTAAGGTAGTCTCCCGACTATTGGTTAGTTTGCCAGTAGGTGTCATCCTTGTTGATCTCTGAAAATCTCTGTAATGCCAATTTTCTGCTCAAACCTATTGTTGCTGCTTGACTCAAACTTCCTCCTCCCTCATGTCTTACTCTCCTCTCCTCTTCTCCCCCTCTCTTTCTCCAACCTTCCTCTCACCTCACCTCATGTTTCCAATCCCCTAAGGATATCCCATCACATTCCCATTCTCTGAGGGAACATGCAAATCTTTGTTCTTGTCCTCATTGTATTTTGTTTTTTTTCTGCTGCAGAGTCTCCATTCTGTAAACATATAATATTTACTCTATCCACCATTTCAGTATTCAATCCACAATTGCAGAGAAGTTAGGGAACAAGGAGAATACTAAAAGAGAAATACTATGAACTCAAAATGGGCAAGAGCTCTTGAACAAATTGGGAGCCAGGGGGAGTGGGAGTGAAGTAGCGGAGAGAGGAGGGTAAAAAGGGTGGAAGGACAAAACAAGAAAACAGAAAGATTGAATCAGGGGAAGAATAGAGGAGAACAAGAAAAGTGATGCCTTAATAGATGGAGTTGTTGTAAGATTGAAGGGAATTCTGGCAATAGGGAAATGTCCAGCGATCCATATGTTGACCTCAACTAAGAATCTATGCAACAGTGAAGAGGCTATTTTAAATGCCCTTACACTTTAATGGTATTGTTGAGTACCAAAAATGCCAACCTAGAGCCTTTATACTTGAACTAATGGAAGCATAAGCAGACATCAACACCTAAGCACTTAGCAGAACTCCTGGATCCAGTTGTAGAGAGGAAGGAATGAGGAGCAAAGGGGTAAAAACTATGCTTGTGAAACCCAGAGAAACATCTTACCTGAGCAAGCAGGAGCTCGTAAACCCCAGTGTAACAACTAGGGACACAATATAGGACTAAGTCAGGCCCCTGAGTATGTTTGTCAGTTAGGAGACCTGGGTAGTCTATTTGGTCTGTGTTAGAGGAACCAAAAATTATCCCTATTGCATGAATGGAATTTGGGAGACCATTCCACATGGAGGAATACTTTTTCAGCCTAGATATGTAGGGAATGGCCTAGGTCCTGCTCCAAATGATGTGACAGACTTTGGTGATCCTCCATGGGTGGCCTCACACTCCCTGGGGAGTGTTTGGGGGAATAGAATGAGGTTTTGGTGGTTTCCATATGAGAACATTATGTAGAAGAAACTAGGATTGTTAAAGTAAGATGGTATCTAATTTAAATAAACATTTATTTCATAAGAAAAAAAAACATCATCAACACAGCCAGTATCAGCGCCAGAGCATTGTTATTTGACATGTCTTTGCTGATTCTGGTGATGGCAGATTTTTTCATGTTCTTCAAATTTATGTATTAGAATTTAACAGATTTTACTTTCATATGTTAGTTACTAAAAAAATGAAACTGAAAATTCCCTTATGATCTGTGTCTTAAAAAGTATATTTTCCTAAAACTACTCAGAGTGGAGAGTTATCCCAGGTTTCAGGAAATACCGCTGCTTTTGTTCTGCACAAATTTGGTAAGGACAGACATCTCAGGTGATCCATCACACATTTCTCACCCGCGTGGATACTTGAAACACATGTGTTGAACATACATGCATATCAGAAAAAAATCATATACATTAAAATAACTATATTTTAAATGCTAGCCTCACAGTCCCTGGGCCTCTTTTTCATTTAGATCTCAGTCACCATTATATTCACGTTCTTGACAAGTGTGAGGTGTTTATATCTCACAACTGTCTTCCTCCTCTGCTATCAGCTCAGGGAGAAGGAATATCAGGGTGCTTAAAACTGTGCTAATCTCTTAATGAACTCCACCTTTAATAACACTTCACATGGATTCTCCTACAGTATTAAGAAGGAATAGACCCACGTGTCCATGTTTCACATATTCATGTAAAGTACATATTTTTTGGAATGTGAAATTTCCTTTTGGCACAATTATGACTGTTTACTTCACTAAACTATCATAAGTAAGAATTGTGAAAATTTCCTGATCTTTACTTAGGATTTGAAGCCTAGCGTCTTTAGTGACATAAGAAGTGGGAGAAAATAAACAGAAAAAGAAATTACAAGCCCTAAAATTGTGTAACATGAAGGAATCATATATGCACACAGTGTATAGAATTGGGCCACTCAAACCAGAAAATAGCCTCTTCATGGAATGAGTTCCTACCTTATAGTACAAAGAACCCTCCCTATACCAGGTAGCCACCTATATTAATAAGATTTAGCCTCAACACAGCTTGAAGTGGCTCCTTTTATGCATGAAGATTTTTAGGTTCAAGTTGAAAACACTAGCAATAGATTAAAAGTGGCCTTACTTACCTATTTCTTCACTCTGCTCTTTCCAAATGAAAGGAAAAATATTCAACTGGTGTGGAGTGTAAAACACATTTTTCGTCCAGTGCAACCTGGCTCAGTCAATCCTATGATTTGGATCAGACTCCACATACACAACTTTTAAATTTATTACCCCCTGCCCGCTTTCCATGATATCAGTTATTACTTTCACAACAATCATGTGTCCCTAAAGCTGTTTGCCTCAAGGACAAAATTAATTTCATCTCTCTTTATCTTAATAGTATCTTGAAATAAAAATAAGCATAAATTACATAAACAAAATAATAAAAGCATCGAGGAAGAATGGGGAATAATTTCTTCATGATTCCTTGGAGTGTACAGTGTATTCCAGAGAGAAGCATTTTTGGCACTTATGTTCAATGCTAAGCAATGCTCCAGCCAGTGTTGGAGAAAACATGGACAGTCAAGACTGTTTTTATAAGAATGTGAATAACAGCAAATAATGTAGCATTCAAGAATAAGCAACTTCTCCTGTCAGGAAGGAAGGCAGACAGAATAGCCCCATAGTTAGTAGAAGTCATCAGGCAGATAGCAGGATATCCATGTATTACTTTCTGTACGGAAACACCACAACCAAAAGTATTTTGTAGCAAAAGTGGTTTCTTTGGCTTAGAATTCCATATTGCTGTTTGTCATTAGGAATATCAGGACAGTTAAGCAGGGCGGAAACATGGAATCAAGAGTTTGTACAGAAGCCATGTGCAGGGGCTCCTTGTGCTCTGTTATACAACCCAGTACCACCACACTAGTGATGTAACCACCCACAATGTGTTGAACCTGCCTTCATCACTAATTAACATGATGACTTAGAGATGGATCTGATGGAGGCATTTTTCTCAATTAAGGCCCCCTTCTATCAGGTAACCTGGTTTATGTATCAGGTTGACATAATACTAGCAGGAACAGTACCAGGTTAACAGTACACGTGAACTGACAAATATATCCAAGTCTAACTTTACCTCCATTTGCACAGAATTTCTTTTCTCTAACATGTTTTAACTAATTATGTAAATTAGCTTCCTGTCATTGTGAAATCAATTTTAGAAAATCATTGCCCATTGGTATCTATCTGTAGATAATATTCCATTGCACAGCTCCCATCACTAGTCATTTCACCAGCTATTTATTTGTTGGTGAAATAGGTCACCATTTACCATCCCATGTACACTAACTTAGGATCTGAGTGCAATCTGAGGGACTCACATATTGGACTAGTTAAGTGGTCTCTGAAACACGGTGAGCTTCTGTTCACCATTTTTTCCAGGTAGAACACACCTTGCCCAGGGCAATCAAATTGCTGACTCCTTGACCCACCCTAGGGTCTTATTTACTCAGGAGCAACTGGCCCACCAGCTCCATGAGCAGTATCATGTAAATGCCTGCTCCATTAAATTTCACACTGGGTGCCCCTTATCCATAGCTACACACATTACCTCTCAGTGCCCTGATTGTGTCCCTTACCATAATTCTCCTAATGAGGGGATAAATCCCCGGGGCCTCAGGGCCAACCATCTCTGGCAAATGGATGTCACTCACCTGCCGCAGGCAGGGAAATTAAAATACATGCATGTCTCGGTGGATACGTATTCTAAACTGATTTTTGCCTCTCTCCATTCAGGAGAGAAGATTAAAGATGTTATTTCTCATTGCCTGCAGGCCTTTGCCAACATGGGCATTCCCGATGCCCTAAAAACGGACAATGACCCTGCCTATGCCAGTAATCGCTTTGCTGCCTTTTGCAGGGAACATCACATTGTCCATTCTTTAGGTATTCCTCACAACCCCACAGGACAGGCTACTGTGGAGCGCACCCATGCCACTCTCAAACAATATTTTAAGAAAGTAAAAAAGGGGGTATGTTACCTCCCCCAATATTCAGTTATTCACCTTACTTTATATTTTAAAAATTTTGACCATAGACTGTAATAATTTGTCTGCTATGGAGAGACATTGGAACAAACCCTCCCAGTCTTTGTGATGGGTCAGATGGAAGGATTTGATTACAGGAAAATGGCAGCCACCCACTCCCCTACTAGCTAGGGTCCGAGGGGCTGTTTGTGTTTTCCCTCCAGGAAGTGAGAAGCCCATTTGTGTCCCCGAACAGTGCATCAGGCTTGTCGACCCCAATACTACTCCAGATACTAGGAATGCTCACCATGATAAAGATGATCCAACCATTACTGAACACTCAGGTAAGGGAAGTATAGGCACTGGTGAGGATCCCCCCACATGTTGATGCCAGTTAGTCATTCCAGCTCCCTGTTCATCAATTTTTATAGCACCAATAATACATTGGGAGTGGCTGCTGCCAATGAGAGAGTAAAAAGTCAGAAACTAAACATTCTGAGTTTCCCCCTCCTAAAAGGGAATTTCTGTTTTATTAAAATTATTTAATGTCTCCTAGATTAAATCTCTCGGTCTTAGCTTGATACCAAGGTCAGGAAAGAGGGGAATCCAAGAAATTGTCCTCAGTTGGAGGGTGGATTGTGTAAATATTAAGGCTTTTTTGCCTGAGGGAACATCCTAGGTTGAGGGATAAATTGAAAATGGGTGAATAGCCATGCATTGGTGTCATACGGGCTTTAATACCAGTGGCATATGCCTTTAATCCCAACATGCCTTTATGAGGGAACATCGTGGGTTGAAGGATGGATTGAAAATGGGTGAAAAACGAGGTGTTGGTGGCACACGCCTTTAACCACAGTACTCAGGAGACACAGGCAGGCAGATCTCTTGAGTTCAAGACCAGCCTGGCCTACAGGACAAGTTCCAGTACAGCCTCCAAATAATACAGAGAAACCCTGTTTTGGAAAAAAAATTGGTAACAGGCCAGGCAGTGGTGGCACACGCCTATAATCCCAGCACTTGGAAGGCAGAGACAGGCGGATCTCTGTGAATTCGAAGCCATGCTGGACCGACAACCTCAAACAATACAGAGAATCCCTGACTCAAAAAAAAGGGTGAATCAAAAAAAATTGGTAACAGTAAAGAGGTACTGGTATTAAGTAAAGAAAAAGAAAAAGACAAAGGTATATGGAATGGAAAATTTTGTTTGCATTTAAGTTCTATTTTGTGAGTCATCTCTAAAAACTTTTGACCAAAAGCCTGGCCTCTCCACCTTGCATCTACGGAGTTACAAGGAGTAGATACAGCTGTACCCCATGACTATAGCTCAAATGGAGGAATGATGAAGGGCATACAGGACTTTTTATCCTTTTTAGTTCAAAGATTGGCTGGAGTTGTTCTTTTACATAGATTTCAATTAAGGAAGCTTCATTTCAACAGACTAATCATGACCTAGGAAAAAAGGATGGTTGAAAGATGCGTGTATGTTCTGAATGTATGGTGTGGCCACACCGGTATGTATGAAATGTGATTGTGAATGTGTGAGTCACTTAAATCCCTTCAAAAACAGTTAAAAAGCTACCTAGATTACTTTAAATATAGCCAAAAGGAACATCCAGCCAGTGTGTTAATGTTTTAACAGAAAAGTTAGGATACAAATGAGGCCTTGTCAGCTAGTGAGAGCTCTACAGGTTAGATTGGGAAAGACTGCTCACAGACTTCAAATAATTTTCAAAAGTTATTTGGACACAGTATAGTTTACAATCTTTGAGTGATTTTCAGAAGTTTTTTGGGAAATATTTAATGGAAATATCCTTTTTAAAGAGCATCTATTAATAATCTAGATAGTGATACTAATTCACCTAGATAGTTAACTTACGATGGTAGACAAATCCTTCTACTGTTATGGTCCAGCTTCAACAGTTCAAACAAAATTTAGAAAATAAAAAAGGGGGAGTAATGTTCCCAGTCCCCACATGCCTCATCAAGTAATACACTCCTCATTTAAAAATTTTAAAATGTGAATGCCAGTGAGCAATCTGCTTCAGACAGATTCTGGCATGATGGAACTTGAGCAACTATTGCTCAGGTCAAATGGAGACATCCATGCACTAGACAGTGGAGAAGACCCTAATTTGGGGTCAAGGGTGTGTTTATGTTGTCTTGCAGGAAAAGAATAAAGCTTCTGCAGCTGGCAGACCATTTGGTGAGATGCATGGAGCAGAGAAAAACTGGACCTAAGACCATGGGAGCCTACCTAAGCCAGTTTGAGTGAGATCTCCTAAATCAGTGTTCCTGATCCTTGATGTCATCGAATCTATAGCCCGAGAAAGAAGGAAAACAGTCGGTTCGAGATTTCCAGTTTCTCAACAGGCCTGCTGCATCAACCTCCCAGACCCATGAGTTTTCATCCCGAAGCCAACAGAGAACTGGAAAGACTAACTGTCTGCCCTTGACACACCTTGAAACAACAGAATTCATTTTGCCAGTTTTTCCCTTTGGGGGGAAAAAAGGACCGATTTAAAACATTTGGACATTGGTATGGACTGTGATGAGTGGCAAAAGCCTCTTTTCAGTATTTGAACAGGACATGGTCACTTGAAATATCAGACTTAGTGGTTCCTGTTTCTGGAATCGTGCCTAGACCAGTGTATTTTTCTGGAGAAATGCAACTTGTCCTAATGTGACAAAAAGGAGACTTTGACTCAAGTCCCATAATCAGCTGAGGCTACTGACGTTAAATCAACAAACTGCATCACCACAGGAACAAATTGGTGCTCTGTGGATAGTGCAACAAGCCTATTGTTCATATTTTTTATAATGCTACATGTGTAACATCAAGATTGTACCTGATGTATCTGTGCAAGTGCACTTTCTAAATGCTTTCCTGAGCAGATCTTGGAACGATTGTAAACTTTACCAAATTGTAAATGTAAATCACATGTGGGTTACCCTTGTAACATAATGTAAATCACGTGCAGGTTACCCTTGTAACAGACGAAGGCTGGTAGAATGTTATGGCCCAGATCTGGTGATGGGTATGGTGATGGAGAGGCGCTATGTCAATGGGGGTCCTGGAAATGGTGGCAGTGGCGGTAGGCATTCTGGCTTTATTCCGAGCTCAAATGTGCCTTGTTCCAGAGGCAAGAGATCTGTAACCAAGTATTGCTTAACTTAGCCCATGGCAATCCCGATAGCCATGGAGGTTGGTTACAGATGATTTAAGGATGAGGTTCTTCCATTGATGGGCAACCTGTGGGGAAGACCCCTCCCACCTAAGACAGGGGTTCAAGCTCCCCCGAAGACAGGCAAGGGAGGGTGACACTACTTGACCTAAGCCAGGAGTGCCTCATTAGAAAATAAAAAAGGGGGAATTATGGAAACACCAGACCTTGTGCAGAGAGCCACTTCCCCATCAGCCTGGGAGTAGGCAGCTGTAAGACAACGTTTACTAAAAACATGTTTACTAAAAACAATACAATGCCCAGAGCAATAAGTTCCTGAAAAGTGCGTGGCCATGGGAACCGCCCTGTCCTCGTCCTTTTCCAAGGACTAACTGCATCCTCAGACACACCCAAACCCACCTCTGGTGTCAGGGTATATAATAACAAGCCAGAGTAGGAATAAAGGAGAGCCTTCTTGAGGAGCCTTCGGGTCTATGTGTTGTCAATCCCTGACATCCTCCGCTCGTTCTCAGACACAGGCTGCGCAGCAGACACGGCACTTGTTTCTAATTTAAATAAAATAAAAATGGAAAACAGGAATATCTTTGGTGGTGGGAATTTAACTACTTTCATTATCAATCAAAAGTGTTAAATTAGATGCAGGAATGTCATGTTTAGGTTTGAGTACATATAGCATTTGCCAGTGAAGACAAAAGAGGCATTTTCACTGCTCAAAACAACTTGAGAGACAATGTAATCATTTGTATAACTGCAAAGCTGTGAAATAGTGTAATTTCATATTGGAATATGGAAACAGAAGGGAATTCTTTTTGGAGACATTTGTGAGGTATCAGTTTCCATCTGTGTCATGGGTTTAAGAAGTATATTACTTACCCAGTGTGAGAAATATTTTCACCTGTGGCTACCCCTCAGATTCCACTCACTCTTTCAAATAAAGGTGTCAGTTTTGTTTTAATTAATGATCAGGCTCGATTTAAAATGCCTGTGCAAAGTATAAAGCAGGGTGCTTCTGGAATAACAGATTCTCTGAAGCCAGGAAAGGAAAAACTAAGGGTTGATCACTCTTTGTGGAACAATTCACCAACTGAAGACATTTTGAAGCTGCATTCCAGACTCTGAGTGTTGTAGCATGGAATGAAGATGTTTTTGCCTTACACAGAGAATAGTATCAGGAAGGTAAAACTTTAAGATAAACTTTTTGGAAGGATCCATAAGGAAGGTCATTGACAGATGGCTTGCTCTCAGGTAAATGTATGCACAAGGATGTGAAAACTTGATAGTCCACAAAGAAATGTTTAATTTGCAAAGCACAAAATTCACTGAAGCTGCTCATTGTTGGAAATCTGTTTTCATGTTTTATTATATTTTCAATAGATATTCTTTATTATTACTCTCATTTGTAAGCTATATCTTGCATTTCACTCTTCAATAGCTATTATTTTTAATTATGACTTATCTACATCTATGCATGTCCTGAAGGATTTACAAAATTACTGATATTAGAGATGAATATTAATTCTCAATTTATACTGAGGATAACTGCAGATGAGTAACGTCATACATTTTCTGAGAATTTTAGATGTTGGTTACTTTGTTATCTGTTAAAAAGTCACAAAAAACTCCTTTTTAACATATACTATTTGCAAATCATGATTGATTACTGATAACAAAGCAAGTTCTTTACTTAAATTGTCTTTCCTTTGAGGCAAATAAGGTTTCAGACCATTATGACAATCGGAAAAATTTTATTTCAGAGTCGGTTGACATTTAAGGATGTGGCCATCAATTTCTCCAAGGAGGAATGGGAATGTCTAGATACTTCTGAGAGGGATTTGTACACAGATGTCATGTTGGAGAATTATAGCCACCTGGTTTTTGTAGGTGAGAATAAATTGTTTTCTGATTGCTGTTTACCCCAGGAATGGTAAATAGCTTATATTATAATTATGAAATGTTTACTATGAATGAATGCCAGTTCCCAATTATTCCTAGTTTTTGGTAAATATAATATTTTTTGCATTTTTAATATATTAATTTACGTGGTCTTTTAATTTAGCCTAACACTTAATTCTCTCCCACATGGTAATTTTTGCAGTCATTCAGTAGCAATAATGTGTGAATACAGTTTGAATCCAATAGTTTTATGTTTGTAAATGTGTAATGTAAGGGAACTTGAAGGTGTAAAAAATTAAAATATATTTCTTATAAGTTTACAACACCTGTCAAGTATGTATGAAGTCTTCACTCATGAGTCCTACTTTATATTCCTTTATGTTCACCGAATACAAGCCTGTTTTGCAAACTACCTCTTTTTCGTATTAAGTATAGAAATTATCATACATATTTTCTAATTCGTAGGCCTTTCTGACTCAAAACCAGAGCTAGTCACCTGTCTTGAACTAAACAATGAACCCTGGATGGTGAATATAGAAGAAGCAGAAGGCCTGGAAGCAGGTAAGCTGAAAGGAAACAGTGGTTCATGTGGGAATACAATGCAATGAATGAACAACTACAGTGGGATTAGCTCTGCTCCTTACTAGAAGTGAAGTCCAAGTATTTCTCTTAGTATTTTGTACTAGGATCTAGCATACACAGGATTTTACATGGTTTTTATTTGCATCATCAGAATAGTGATTAGATACATTTAAGCATTCCAATTGCAATTTGGCAATGTGTGGATGGCTTAATTTTGTGTTACAAAATATGTCTTAATTGTTCTTATACATGTCAGCAATAAATAGATTACTTTTTCTCATTTTCTATAAATGTTTGAATGATTTTATAATACATGGATCAATTTATATTTCTTTCTTTTACCTACTTGTATATCATAGATTTCTTACATTTATCCAATGTTATAATTTCCTCACATAATTTTATTCTATTAAAACATGATCAGAAAATATATACATAATTGTATAAGTTTTATGAATGCCAAGAACTTTTGAACACAAGGCTTTGAGTATGATTGGTATATCCTGGGATTAAGCAAATAAGAAACACATTTCACTACTGCTGGAAGTTAGAGACCACACATATGTTCTTGTCAAAGAGATATGACATGGAGTCTATTTTCAATGAACAAGGTGAGGTGCTGTTTGCCTTGAGCATATGTGGGTTTTGGCCTTGCTGTCACAGACTTGGCAATTGTATGTTCATTGTTCCTATACTGTTTGTAAACTTCTCCTTCACTAGAGTCATTTATTGTTTCTTTCCTGCACCCTGATTGGTGGGTTAAGAAAAAGAATCCCAGACAGGTCTTAGTTCTCCAAACTCTCAATATTAAGCTGCTTTAGTGAAGGATGAGGGAGGCACCATTCTATGTGTTCAGAAATATACTATTAGATTAATGCCACATTCCTTAAGTGGAATAATAATGTTTTTTATCTATGCCCATACAAGTTTGGTCTCAGTTTCTTGGCTCTAAATCAGGGTCAGATATGGTTCCATCAGTGGAGTTGGCATTAAGACAATTAAATGCTTATTACTTATTTCCAAAACATCAGTGCCACTCTTGAACATATTTTATAGTCCAGTCAAATATGTGGTCACATGGTACATAACTTGGAAAATTGATAAATATGCTCACCTTGTATAGCATATATAGTAATTTTAAGCACTATGAAAGTATTTCATTTGGGTTGATGTATTCAGTTGGATACAAATTTGATATCTCCCCATTAGGTATTTTAGCATATTAATTGGGTTCTTGATGGCAAATAATTACAAGATCAATAACCTCAATATCTGGAGTGTAACAGTAGAAAATAATGTAAGCCATTAATTGTAGAAGAGATTTTATTTGCTGACACATGTTTTCAATTTTGGTATTGTGTACACTGTAGAGGCAGATGTTTCTCCATCTGGTCTTCATCCTTCTAGATTGTTTTCTCTCCACCATCAATGTCACTATAATCACTTACAGAGTTGTCACTCAGAGGCTTAATATATATTTATTATTTTATAGCCAAGGGGTTAAGCTTTTTCTTTGCTAAGCTTCTTATGATATAACCCATCTATATTAATCTGGATCTGTGGCTTACATATTTAATGCCCAGGAGTCCTGGCTCCCTGGCAGCAAATGTCATCTCATGTCTCTGTCTTCCTTTACCGTGCCTCTTAGTTTGGAATTCCCACCTAGATATTGTTGGTTCATCCATCTTCAGCCTATAAGCATAGATTATTTGGCGACTTTCCAGTGAAGCAGGGGATGTGAAGATCTATATTGTCTTATACTGGCAACGTTATTTAGTTGCCTTCATTTATATCCTGTAGAATGTTTGGCTGTATTCTATGTGAAGTAGAAATACTGACGTACCATATCATCCCATGCCTGCCTGCTTAGCACCCACTTTTCTGTGGGTCCTGCAAGTCCATGTTACACACAAAATAGTCACCCCATCTAGGCAAGAGCAGTTTCTATTCCAAATGACTATCTCTGCCATATTGAAACTAAAAACCAGAGCCCGGTTCTATCTGACATAGATGGTGCAGCCAGGAGCAGATGTGTCTCATTGTCATGGAAATTCTAAAGGTAATAAACCCTTTTAAATGTTACATTTAATTGGATTTTGAATGGTTTTGAAGAATAAGGATATTTTCTACATGCAGACAAGTCAATGAGAGCCTGAATTGTGTTTTCATGGAATTGAAAGAAAAGATTTCAAGTGTACAGAATGTTTCAATTCTTTTGCCCATAGGTTTTCTTGTGAGGTTCATCAGACAATGCAAACTGGAGAAAGAAAAGCCTTTCATGTGTGAAGCATGTGGCAAGTCTTTTACTCAGGTTTCAACACTTCAATTTCATCAGAGGATCCATACTGGAGAGGAAACTTACAAATGCTCAGATTTCAGCAAGTCCTTTAGAGCGAGATCAACACTTCAAGTTCATCAAAGAATACACACTGGAGAGAAACCTTATAAATGTGAAGACTGTGGAAAGTCCTTTAAACAGAGATCAGCACTTAAAGTTCATCAAAGAATCCACACTGGAGAGAAACCTTACAAATGTAACACATGTGGCAAGTCCTTTAGGAATTCCTCCAACCTTCAAGTTCACCAAAAAATACATACTGGAGACAAACCTTACAAGTGCTCAGATTGTAGCAAGTCCTTTATACAGAGATCAGCACTTCAAGTTCATCAAAGAATCCACACTGGAGAGAAACCTTTCAAATGTAACACATGTGGCAAGTCCTTTAGTACTACCTACAGCCTTCGAGTTCATCAAAGAATACATACTGGAGACAAACCTTACAATTGCTCAGATTGTAGCAAGTCCTTTAAACAGAGATCAGCATTTCGAGTTCATCAAAGAATGCATACTGGAGACAAACCTTACAAATGCTCAGATTGTAGCAAGTCCTTTATACAGAGATCAGCACTTCAAGTTCATCAAAGAATCCACACTGGAGAGAAACCTTTCAAATGTAACACATGTGGCAAGTCCTTTAGTAATACCTACAGCCTTCGAGTTCATCAAAGAATACATACTGGAGACAAACCTTACAATTGCTCAGATTGTAGCAAGTCCTTTAAACAGAGATCAGCATTTCGAGTTCATCAAAGAGTACATACTGGAGAGAAACCTTATAAATGTGAAGACTGTGGAAAGTTCTTTAAACATAGATCAACACTTAAAGCTCATCAAAGAATTCACACTGGAGAGAAACCTTAAAATTGTAGAGTATGTGGCAAGTACTTTACAAAAAGCTCAACACTTAAATTTCATCAAAGAATACATAGACGTTGTAAATTCTTCAAACAGAACTACAAACTTTAATTTGACCAAAGAATACACACTGGACAGGAAACTTCCTATTGCATAGCTCAGAAAGTCGTGTATCACAGGCTCAAATCTTCACATTCATCAAAGAATATATATGGGAGAGAAACCTTACAGTTTTAAAGGACTGGGAAAAGTTAGAGAACACCTGGAAATACATGTAATAGACCAACTCAGTAGGGAATTACTGTCCTAATACTCATTCAAAAATAAGGTGATTTATAATGTGTGTATACAAAGGAAACTGTCAGCATATGTTGAAACATTATTCACAATTAGATGAGGAGCATTACTAAGCCTAGTGACCATTGTCATTTTAAAAGCATTCTACTAAGGAATAAAATGGTTATTTATAAAAATAGTGTTGGAAAATCATCTATGTATACAGCGATATTTCTGTCAGTACTATACTGAAATCATGCACTAAAATTATGTAGGATGAATTTAATAATAGTTGAAGGCACAAATAATTTAAAATGTGAATACTTATGCCTGGGTAATTTTACAGATAACCATGCTATTCAACATCACTGCATAATTTTCTGTACACTTTATGGGACAGTATATTGAACTTTTATTTATAATAGCATTTGTATAACTATCATTGTGTTGCTACTGTTTGGAATTTTACAGAATGTAATATAGATTGTTTTTAACTTGTTTTTTATTCTTATATTCTCAATTATCAATAAATATAACTAGTTTTTAATTACCCATGACTTGGAATAATGAACACACAGTTTATACTAGTGTAGAGTAATAAATGGCAGGAACTGCAAAATGAAAAATTGCCTGACAGCATGACCTGAAAATACAGAACAAATGGCTTTAGGTAAACTATAAGGGATTGAATCATGAGAAGTAGATGTGGGGTTAATCTGATGATGTGATGGCATGTGTGGATGTGTAAGTGAAATTCAACTGTTTACATGGACAGAGTTAGGTCCAAGACCAGACACTAAGATACAGCAAAAATGCAAACTAACTGAAAACTATCTTCCCCTCATTCATTGGGGCTATGAACATTACAAATCCTCCTGTGTCTTTTGATGATGTTGATAGTTTATGCAAAAGCTGTCCAGCATATTTTGTTATCATAATATATTTAGGCCTCATCAGTTGAAGTATATAGAATCTGAAAGTACTAAAATGATCCAAGAGCTGGGCGTTGGTGGTGCATGCCTTTAATCCCAGCACTTGGGAGGCAGAGGCAGGCAGATCTCTGTGAGTTCAAGACCAGCCTGGTCTACAAGAGCTAGTTGCAGGACAGCCTCCAAAGCCACAGAGAAACCCTGCCTCGGAAAAAAATAAAATAAAATGATCCAAGAATTCCTACCAGCTTTAGATAATAATCCTGCCACTCAAATATCAGTCAATATGTAATACATTCTTGAATCTATTTGGATGAAGGTACTACATATGCAGGGGTATGGTTGTTAACTTCTGACACATGAGCCTAGCATTTGACTCCCTTTTATATCTATGTATATTTTCTACATTCTCAAACAACTCAGCTTACATCTGTCAATGGAGACATACTGGACAGGAAATCCATGGCCCAATAATCCAAGTTTACAGAAATAATTTATTAGAGTTTTTGAAATCAATTGTAATCACAATTTCTCATTAAGGAAGAAACTGCTTGATTTTTAAGTACTACTGAGTCTGAGAGTAGTATTTCCCTAATAAAATTTTCTACAGAGAATTGAAGAACAATCATTTGCAATTATGATTATTGTTAGATTATGAGCTAGCAAATACCTAAGTAGTCAACAGAGAAGCAAATAATAAGCACTGATTTTAAAAACTGGAAAAATGACTCAACTAACACAGAAACTATTGTTCATTCCATGTCTGATCTCATATTTTGTGTGTGTATATGTCAATTTTTTATCTCTTTGAAAACTTGGCCCAAATTTAATTGCAGCTTTCACCACACAGCCACATCTTTTTCCTGACATAAGTCTCTCTTACATACATGTCTTTCTTCTATAGAGGTACATTTGTTACATCTCTCTACTCACTTAGGTACATCACTTCACATTCCTCTTGCCCTTCTCCTTACATCTTCCACACTTCACTATCCTCTCAAACATCTATTACATACTCTGCTACATCTCCTGTATACCACTACTCAAAAATTTCTCAGGTCTCTGTGCATATATATGTTAATTTCTCAGTAATCAATAAGACAAATTCATTAAAAAATCACAATTATTTCCATGCTTGGAATATCACAGTGACCAGACAATGAGCAACCTTTCATTAAGCTGTAAGTAATTAGTTCTCCCATACTGAGTGGATATTGAAATTCAGGACCTGATTACTGATTGTTTGCTCTCTCTCATCACCCTTCGGCAATTAAGTTTTAATAACTCTGATAGAATAGAAAATGTAAACAGACTGTATACCACCTTTAATCCCTGTGCTGCTGGAGGCTTGTTCTCATGACAGCAGTATTTTGCTATATGGATGCTCAATTATTTGGAGCACATAGCTGCCAATCTCTCCATTCCTCTTTACATATCTGTCTCATCATATTTTAATCAATATATTTAAAATATCTCCCCCAAAATTTAATTTTTGTTTGCTCTATTGAGACATTTTTATCTGTATGTCAGGGTACCTGGAAAGCATGGTCATTTGTATTCCTCAGCTTTTTAAATTGTTCTTCACTTTGATTATTGTTTAGAATGTAACATTCCTCCCTCTCTGCAAGTGGGTTCTAGGATTTCAGGTAAGCATTTAGCTGGGAGTATCTAACTCTCTTTCATCAGCCACAGGATGAAGGCTCTAGGATGTCATATAAGGTAGTTATCAATCTCATTATAGGGGAATTACATTGTTCTTAACAGTGGCTCTTATTTGGAATGTATATACTATGCACTGAGTAAGTTTGGGAGATTTTGTATTTACTATATGAGAATTTATTATGAAGTCTGACTTATCATATCCCTTAAAATGCCTATTTTGGGAAGTCTGATGCCAGTCTTGGATATAGCAAGAACAAGTCTTTTTTGTAAAAAAAAATTATACTATTTTTACAGGTACATGTGTGTCCATTTTTCAAACTACTAGTCCTTTCCAATGAAATGACTCTTAGAGTCCCCATTTCTTGCTCTTTTAAAATCTGTGATTACCTTAGGTTAAATGAACAGCATTGATACATAGTCACCAGACAAAAGCATTGTCAGACCTTTCCAAAAAATCAGTAGTTATTCTGGAACATGTCATTTTATTGCAAATTTTACAATTTTATTTGTCATATTTCATTAAAATACTTGTGGGGCATTGCTTATGTTTGATTGACTAACTGGGGATGGTGTTGATTCTTTGCAAAAATCATGTTTCCTCATGGAAGTACATGGACCATGCATTAATACTTATCTTTGACTTTGTTATGATATGCCCTTAACATTAATATATATTTTTGAGGTAGTACTTGCTTTCTATTTCTTCCTGGTATAGTGCACAGTCATCTTGAGTGTAGGATTATTTTGAAGGGTGGGGAGGTAAGCTGACAAGCTTGCAGGCTAACATTGGTAGCCACAAATCAAATATTCATGACCTTGTAATATGGGAGTTTGGTTTCCTGTAAATTCCTGTCCTCCAGGCATTCAGGGTCCAAAAGATTATTATGATAGCAGGAATATGATAGACAGAAACTTTGTATATTGATTTTGAGTGACTGTGTGTATAGTGCCTCTTGGGCTTGACAAGTTTCTCAATACTAGGAAACACTGAGGAATGACACCTGCAATCTTCATGGAAAGAATGCATTCTTATGGGAAGAGATAGAGAATAGAAACTGCTGTCTACTATCAGTGTGCTGGATTCTAATGAACTCTGCAACATCAAACCAAATAAGTCAGTCAGCTTTCCTATAGAAGAAGTAGAGAGGGAGACAGAGAGAAATAAGTACAGAGAGCATTCATAAAGCATGAGATGGGGTATGATCAAAATGCATTGTGTACATGTATGAAATTGGCAAGACAAGTGACAAGACAAAATATCCAGATATTCTGAAACCAAGAAGCCCTTTCACTAACAGAATCTCATTTCTAAAATTTATGATTTCAGATCCTTATCTTTTCTCTTTACTGATGCTTGAACCCAGGGAATCATGCATGCTTAGCAAGTGACCCCACACTGAGTTAAACAGTCAACAAAAGGAACCCACAGATATAGTTTCACTTTTACAAACCAGATGACATTTGCTAGTAATAAACACACAAACAGAAAATGGTGGCCCAAATTTGATTCAGAAGATATGCTCTTCTTTTGCCAGCACTGGTCTGTTGCCACCAGACTGTTCAGAAAACTTTGTGAAATGCTACGAAAGGTATTTTTGTACATGTTTAATCACAGATGTTCCTAATGAGACTAAAAAGCAAGAGAATGTGTTAATAGTGAGTTAGAAATCTGAAGGAATTACTCCAACATGGCAAGCAGATGAGATGGGAATGTTGGGAGAAAACACAGCAGAAAGGAGGAAGCCACTGTGCCAGGAAAGGAGGTTGTTCAGGGCAATCTTAGCCCAGGACAGCAGGGACAGAAAGGACCTCAGAGGCAAGCAAGTTACTAACTGCCCAGGTACAGCATTAAAACACACCTAAGCCAGTTAGGCCTTTGTCAACTGTTTCAGAGCCTGTGAGAATCTTTGGATGTTTGCACAGTGCAGATGATATTCATGCACTGGATAATACTCCAGTGCATCATCATGTTTTCTGGAGACAATACATGCAAGTCAGCAGGAAGAAACAGAATGCACTGAAGTAAGTCGGCACTACTGAGCAAGAAATCCATACCTAAGGAAGAATTATGATTCATGGCAAAAAACAAATTGAAGACTTTGAAGCATGTGTGAATGACACATCGCTGGGATGAGAATAGATATTCCATGCACAGAAAAACAAATAAATCAGCATGAAAGAAAAGCATGGGAAAGAATCTGAGCCCGGGCCTGTTGGTAAATGCCTTTAGTCTCAGCACATGGTAGGTAGAGGTAGGTGAATTTGTTAAGTTCAGGACATCCTGTTCTACCCAGCAAGTTCTTGGATATCTAGTTGTACATAGAGTAAACGAGTCTCAAATTGAGGAAATGAAAGAGAGAAATCTATTCTAATGATTCCTAAAATAAATATAAAACAAGGCAAACAACCAAAATACTACAGAGGACTGGTTGGCATGCAAATAAATATTCACGTGTAAAGAGCAGATGTACATGCCAGAATTCACAGTTGAGTAATATTTCCAAATGGCCAGAACTTCCATGACCAACTCTGGAATCTCATTATTTGGGTGGTGAGCAAGTAGGATAGCTAGCAAACCTAGGCTAAATATAACCACATATAAAAAAAGAAGGAGAATTAATAGGGAGAGAAAGGGAAGAAAGAGAGAGGGAGGAAGAAAATGGGGAGAGGGGAAAGAGAAATTATGGTGGAAGACAGACAGGGAGGAAGGAAGGGATGAACAAAAGATTTAAAGAAAGAAAGAAATGAAGAAGGAAGGAAGGGAGAGATAAAAGAAAGGAAAGATGGGAGGAAGGAAGAGTGGGGGGAGAGAGGGAGGGAAGAAATAATGGGGAAGAGAGGGAGGAGCAATTGCTCAGCAGTAAATTGCTTGCTGCACGCAAGTGCTGATTTCCGTTGTTGGAATCCTCATGGTCGACAAAGAGAACATACTCACACACTTGTTCTATGAATTCCACACATGTGATGCTGGGATATGCTTAGGTAAACCACAGGAAAGAACCCAAGGATATGCTATAGTTTGAACTGTGCATGTGTACTGGGTATTATATAGAATAACACTGTCAACGTTTGTGCTCAAGGTGCAAAAACACATTTTCTGTTCATGGACTGATATCTAGAAGCTTTGTAATATGAAATAAATACCTATTTCATATATGGAGGAACTACTATACTGTTTTCAAAAGCAGCTACCTACTCTATTCTGAGGGTTGTGTATAAAGCCAATTTGTATATTTTCTGGTATATTATCTGACTTTTTAACTGTACCTGTTAAAAACTCAGGATGCTGGTAACTTTAACTTGGATTTTTCATTCTAATAGTGTTATTAATTTTACATCTTTTCATGTTCTGGTTTATGAATTGCGTCTTTAAGGAAATTGTTCTTCAAACTAGGCCAAAAGCTGTGTGACATATCTTTATGTAGGTTCTTTGCACGTCTTAAATGCAATGTGTTTCTCAGGTAGGTTCTTTGCAAACACATTCTTCTATACTGCCACCTATTTTGAATTGTGTTTTTAATTTAAATGTGTTTTTAAATATCCCATGGTATAGTTTTCTAATATTTATGGCTGTTTATGAAGAAAGAAGAATTTGTATTGATTCCTTAAATATTTAGTAAATTAAACAGAAATGTCACCAGATTTCCATTTTTTTCTTATTGCAAATTCAATCAATTTTCTGAGTATAATTTAGTCTGCTCTTCTTTTGACTGTTGTGAGTATACACCATAACCAAAATCTACATGGGAAAGGTAGGGCTTATTCTAAGTTCTGGAGATATGAAACTTATGGGTGCTGCTAGCTGACATACTCCTCATGACTTATCAGCCCCATTTCTTGTAGAATTCAGGAGACATGGGCTTTAACAACATATCGTGGGGTAGGCCCTCCAATATGAATCATCAATCAAGAAAATACCTTACACACTTGTCAATGTACTAGAGCTGTTTTCTCAACTAAAAC